CTGTATTTCTCCTGAGGTTACCTGTGAGTTTTTCTTTGTATTCTGAACAATTCTTCTGGCTGCAATCTTTCTTGCTGTACCTGACTTTGGCTTGGTATGAAGAGATCCCCAATTTTTCCACTTCTTAGTAAGCCATTGGACAGTACTGATTGGCATATTCAAGGCTTTGGGTATCTATTTATACCCTTTTCCATCTTCATAATGTTCATTATATTGTTACACAGGTCATTTGGCAGTTCTTTTCTGCTCCCCATGGCTCAGTATTTAGCCTGCTCAGTGCATTCACGTGAGAGCTACCAAACTCATTGATTATTTATATACAGACACTTTTTGTAATTTAAAAAGCCACAGATGTGGGAAATTAACTTTTAACTGCCATTTTAACCTGTGTATGTGTCACCTTTTGTGTCTGTACCAAGGTCAGACATTCCAGGGTATGTAAACTTTTGATCAGGGCCATTTGGGTGATTTCTGTTATCATTATGATTTAAAAAGGAACCAAACAACAATGTGATAATAATTAGCTTCATATGATTACTATTCTTTAGCCTTCAGTCACAAAAATCCAAGTTTGAAATCATGCGACTTCACTTGCATTTGCACAATTTCAAAGTGGGATGTCAGTCCGACTTCATGTGTGACTTGGAAAACATCTGTGAGACAGTGAACCTATCAAATTGCATGACAAGTCACACCTGTGTGACCAGAGACTAAATAAAAAGACAGTATTTTGGCATGATCAGTCATATTTTCAATATCAATGCCAACATTTCACTATTTCTGCCAGGGTTTGCAAACCTTTGAGCATAACCATATATCAATGTCTCAAGCGTGTCCATGAATGTTTCTAGTGTAGCAATAAAACCTGACAGTGGTTCTAACCACTCACCACCCTATCCAAAACCAAAAAAGGTTTTGCCTTCAATTTTATTTTAAAGTGTCTAGGAGAAGAATAAGTACAGGCGTGATCACATTCACATATATGTATACAAATATATATTTAAAAAGTCATAAATTCTCTTTAATTTATAATGGAAAGATTTTTCTGCTTTTTTTAATTCATCTCATCAAACTCTGCAAAGGGTCTTCTTGGGAGCCTATTGGGTTTAGATTCTATTAAAGGTTCTTAAAGCAGACTGAATGGATATTTTTTTAAGTAGTCATTTTTATTTAGTCATCAAATAGATCTGTACAGAATGTTTAAGAACTGGTTATAGCTCTCACATGTTAAAAGCTGTGTAACACTTTGTACTATAGACATACTGCAGGGAATTGTTATAAAAGATAGATTGGCTCATCCAATTAATCTTTAATTTCTTTGCATTAAGTTTGCACTCTGTAACAAGCCTTGTACTTCTAAGCATCTACATGACCTTCATCAAAGTTGAAACGTGCATGCTGGAATGTTTTGCATATTAAGGCTTTTTCATGTAGGTGTAAATAGCTATGAAACTATCAGCTATCCAGATGTCATTGAAGAGATTGCAAGTCCTTAGTTAACAACGGGGATTCTGGTAGTTGATCCTGAGACTACCTTTACATTAAAATACTCTTTGTTAGCTGTGTAAACATTTTTGCTGAATGTTATACTATGTATTGCATTTGAAATTATTCTGTTATGACAATTTAAAGCAACCTTATAAATGATTTACAAGTGAGGAACATGTTGTGTTGACTGACAGGGGAACCACAAAATTCTTTTTAATTTTTGGTTATAAGAAATAATTAAAACCTTAGTAAATGTTTATTTGTTGGAGAGACTTAAACTTGCTTTCTGTCCCAAAATCACACAAGTATGTGGAGAGGTAACGGAGATATAGCGTACCAAAGTATGTACAATTTAATGATCTTCTCCTGGTAGATTTTTCTGCTTTGACTCCTAATTCAAGTAGAAGAACCCAAACAGTTTCCAGTTGAGAATACTCACAGAGGGACTCCACTATGGTATAACTCTACCAAAGGCCTGTTCTGGACTGGATGCTATGGTCATAGTCTAGGCAAGGGGTCTTCACACTTTCTAAACAAAGGGCCAGCTTGCTGTCCTTCAGACTTTAGGGGGGCCCAAAGTGTCCAATGGGAGTAGAAAATGTCCAGCAAAAGTCTGAGTAAAAAACATGACATAAAGTTTGTAGTCAGTGGAAGGAGGAATAGTGTCCAGTCATTGATATTAGTTGGAGGAATAGTGCCCCATCACTGGTATTTGTTGGCAGAATAGTGCCCCATCATTGGTTTACATATAAATTTACATATATAGTTAGTCTGGCTGAAAAAAAGACAAAAGTCTATCCAGTTCAACCATAGGAAAAAAAAGAAGTTATAATCCTATACCCACAGTTGATCCAGAGGAAGGCAAAAAAAAAAACAAGCAAAGCACGATCCAATTTGCTCCTGCTGGGAAAAAAATTCCTTCCCGATCCCCTGAGAGGCAATCGGATATTCCCTGGATCAACTTTACCTATAAATGTTAATATCCAGTTATATTCTGTGTATCAAATAAAGAATCCAGGCCTTTTTTGAAGCAATCCACTGAGCTGGCCAGAGCCAACTCTTGAGGGAGTCTATTCCACATTTTCACAGCTCTCACTGTGAAGAAACCTTTCCCTGTTTGGAGATTAAATTTCTTTTCCTCCAGACATAAAGAGTGCCCCCTTCTGCTCTGTGATGACCTCAGGGTGAGTAGCTCTACACCGAGTTCACTATATGAACCACTGATGTATTGGTATTAGTGGGATGAATAGTTCCCAATCATTTGTAACAGTGGGCGGAATAGTGCTCCATCACTAATGTCAGTGGGAGGAATAGTGCCTCATCATTGGTACCAGTGGGGAATAGTGCCCCTTAATTGGTATTTGTTGGAGGAATAGTGCCCCATCGTTGGTATCAGAGGGAGGAATAGTGCCCCATCATTGGTGACAGTGGGATGAATAGTGCCCTATCATTGGTGCCAGTGGGACGAATAGTGCCCCATCATTGGTATCAGAGGGAGGAATAGTGCCCCATCATTGGTATTAGTTGTAGGAATAGTGCCTAATTGTTTATATCAGTGGGAGGAATTGTGCCCCATCATTGGTGTCAGTGGAAGGAAAAATGCCCATTGTTGGTGTCAGTGAGAGGAATGGTTCCCCACTGTTGGTGCCAGTGTAAGAAATGGTACCTCCTTGTTGGTGTCAGGGGGAGGAAAAGTACCCTGAGGGTCGGATAGAGGCAAGAAAAGGGCCACATTCAGCCCACGGGCTGTGGTTTGGAGACCACTGGTCTAGACCATGATTACAAAATATCTATTTTTGTCCCTGAGTTATCAAAGTGCTGAAAATAAACTACATTAATGTCTGAGGACCATTTTATACTATCAGGTGACAGAGCAGTGAGTGTTGTATAGTAGATCAATCTCATTCTTCTACATTAAAGTGATTGTAAACTCTTACATATACCCAGTGAAGTGAATGGCTTAAAGTGACACACAGAGATGAAACAAATCCTCTTACACAGGTTGTATCTGTCTATCTGCAGTGTCCTCTTCTCTACAAAGTGGTGAATTTTTAAAGCTTGTCTGAGAGTTCAGAAAAAAAGAGGGTGGAGAGCTGAAATTACATTCTGCAGAGCTCAGTGAAGAATGTTATGAGAGCTGATTGAAGGTAAGAGACACCCCCCCCCCCCATCCGCACAGCTCACAAGAACATAACTGAGGCTGTCAATCTGCTGGATGTCCCTCCATTTTTCTCTAGGTGTCAGGAAAACTTGTCAATAGTGATTCATGTTGATAGTAGAGGAATAAGGCAGCACACAGAAATGACACTTATTGCTCTTAATTGAGACAAGTACACACTATAGAACAGGGTTTTTCAACCAGAGGTTGCTAGGTGTTCTTTGAGCAATGAGCAATTTTTGCCTCTCATAGTTCCTTTTGACACCATTGATCTTTTTAGCAATCTGTAAGGGTTTAATTCTTCCCAATGACCACAAGTGTAAAGGGTATTCTTCCCACTGACCTTCACACTAATGTACCATGAGTTGTAGATATATTATTTTTAGCAGGGGTTCCCTGAGACCGGAAATTTATTTCAAGTGTTCCTCTTTGTTGGAAAGGTTGAGAAATGCTATTATAGAGGGATATGCTGTGTTCATAATACATTGACTTTAATCCAATACAGTAAATATGTCTCTTAAAAGGCTAGCTATGCCCAGTGTCACACAAAATGTAAAACCGGAGTGAACACTGGGCAATTCAAAGCTACCCAAGCTGGCACCCATTTTTAGCAACTTTTTTGCAGTTCAGTTCTGTTGAATCAAAGTGTGCATCACATCAGTCCTCAATGCAAGTCATACAAGAGAAAGTGTCAGGGCCCAGGTACTGCAAAAGATGGCCAGCCTTTTGTTCTTGGGGAGGCATATAAAGTCTATGACTAGCTAAAGAAAAAGGAAAACTACTGTATTAACTGCAACTGCTGCTATAAAACTTGCCAATAGTTCCAGCTGTAAATGTGTGGCTAAAATAGGTAGTGTATTGTATAGATTTTAATAATGCATATTTAACATGGCCAAGGTCACATCATTTCAATGGCTGTTTTTAAAAGAATGTTTGGTTTATTTTAAGGTGACACTATAACTGCTGTCCTAAATCAGTTATGGGTTTTTGGGCATCTTGTTTAATGAACGACAGATAACTAGATGCAAATTTACATTCAAAATATTTTCTTGCATCGCAAATTGGCATACTTATCCAACTAGACTGTGTCATCTGCTAGAAATGTGGTAGACAGCTAAAGCCTAGTAGTTTTTGTAACAATGCTTTGGAACATGTAACATGCTGCAGCTCCTGCCTCCTCTCCGCTTGATCCCCCCACTCCTATGACAGCGAGCAGGGATTCTTCTCCCTACACCCACTATCACAAGTTAAAAACAGCATGGCCATGTGGGGCTCAACCCACAGGGCCACATCATTCACAGAGTTCTGTGAATGATTGAACTACAAGTACCACCAGCCACTGAGGCCAATGGCTTGTAGTTCTCAATGAACTATGAAGGAGCTGGTGAGCACCGTCGTAGTTCATGGATTCGTACTGCAATTCAGTAACTGGCTGTCTTATGGGAAGAGAGTGTACTAAGCAGGGGCGGACTAACCATTTAGCCACTCGGGCACTGCACGAGGGCCCGGGGTCAGTAGGGGGCCCCATGAGATGCCCTTGGTACCTTTCATAGGCTTTTTTGGGTGTTGTTTGAGTGTGGTCAAGGACACAAGGGCCCCATGATTTCCTATTGCCCGGGGGCCCCTTGAGTTGTCAGTCAGCCCCTGGTACTAAGAGTCTGCAGGATCCCGGCATTGCACGTATAATCTGCTGATCGAGGAAGCAATGTTATACAGGCGTCAGTGTAAAAAAATATTAAATGCAATTTTTTTACCTGCAAAAAGGTGTGCATTTATTATTTTATATTTTTTTAAAAGGTGAACGTATCCTTTAAGAGTCTTATATATACTCATAAGACTTTAACAGTGTATGGTGAAGTTTAATATTTATGTAATACACACTGTTTAGTTTTATTGCCTTTACCATTCACTAAGTCTTCTTACCTGATTGGACCAACTATTGCATGTTTTATTTTTTAAAGTATACAATACTGTTCATTTTGTTTTCTCTTACGGCTTCTCTATGTCATTGTAGGCTTATAGTCATTGCCCTGTTACTTCAGTAAACAGATGGCACATGGAATAACCATTCACTAATGAAAATGCTAAGCTCCAATGAAACCTGAATAGCTGTTAACTAGTACTAATGTCGTTTAGTGAACAAGCCTCCTTAAAAGATTAGCATTTTATTTGCAGCAGTTATGTGCAAACTTAGTTACAGAATATGCACGCACCTGTCAAACAGTTTGTGTGTAAGTGACTTAATGCACCTGTCCAACATAGATTCCCTTCCACAAGCTGTGCCAGGAAGCAGAAGGTCAGGATCAGAATGCTAGGACAGCATGTTAGCATACTGTACTACTGTGCTGATATGTCACCTCACCACTATGGATTCTTGACCATTCTGCCAGCTACAGATTAATTTGGAGATCTATGTTAAGTCACCCATGTGTCTACAAAAGTCTCTACAACCCAGTATAGGGCATGCTCTTTTTTCATGACCACATTTGATGTTTTACTGTTATAAAGGGAAATCTTTATGTGTGTTTATTGTATTAGGAGGAATTGAGAAATTACCTTGACTTCAAATTAAAGGCTCATAAGCTGCGATGTGATCCGTTTGGCATCTAGGTCATAAAAATAAATGCAAATGTTATTTGCTGTATTTTAACCACTTGCCAACTGAGCACTTTCACCCCCTTCCTGCCCAGGCTAATTTTTCAGCTTTCAGTCCTGTCAAACTTTGAATGACAATTGCGCGGTCATGCAACACCGTAGCCATATGGGATTTTTAGCATTTTTTTTTAGACAGATAGAGTTTTCTTTTGGTGGTAGTTGGAGTTTTTTATTTTTTGCTAAACAAACGAAGAAAGACTGAAAAATTTTTCTTAGCTTCTGTTATAAAATTTAGCAAATAAGTAATTTTTCTCTTTCATTGATGTGTGCTGATGAGGCTGCACTTATGGGCACCGATAGGCTGCACTGATTAGGTGGCACTGATGGGCACTGACGAGGAATCATTGATGGATAATCATAGGCAGCACTCATGGGCATTGATAGGCACTGGTAGGTGGCACTGACAGGCACTAATAGACAGAACTGATGAAGAGACACTAATAGGTGGCACTGATGGGCACTGTTAGGCAGAATTAATGAACACCACGCCCCTTGAGGGTTAGGGACTGATGTGAATGTACAATATATATGTAAAGCGCTGCGTAAATTGACAACGCTATATAAGTACCTGAAATAAATAAATAATAATAAATAACACCAATAGGCAGCACTAATGGGCACTTATAGGCAGCACTGATTGCACTAATGGGGCTGCACTGTTCCCTTAAGAATCGCTGGTTACCGGCTCTCTTCTGCTCATGCTGTCACAGCGCATCACGTGGTAAAGGACTGCTGTGATTGACTCTTTACCTCTCTCTGTAATCAGCTGTGTCCACAGAACAGCACTCCCGATGTGCACCCCCAGGAGGGCAGGGTTCTGGGAGGACGTCAAGAGACGTTGGCTACTTTTTGAATTGCCCCCCTGACTTTTATTGGAATAAAGTTGTATCCTGACCTCTTAGCAGTAGTGTATCGCTTCAGTTTTGATTTTTGTTACATTACACTACAAGCCAAGGAGACTGTGGAGGTCCTCTGGGGTGTAGAAGCTGTCTTCACAGGAACCAGATCATTTACATCTAAACCTTTTTTAACAAAAGGCCAGTTTATTGTTTTTCAGACTTTGGGTAGCGAAATGTCAGTATGAGTGGAAAATGCCCTGGCATCAATGGGAGTAAATAATGCCTCATCGTTTTTATTAGTTGGAGGAATAGTGCCCCATTGTTGCTATCAGGGAAAGGAACAGTGCCCCATCGTTGGTGTCAGTGGGAGGAATGGTGCCCCATCACTGGTGTCAGTGGGAGAAATTGTGCATCATTGTTGGTGTCAGCAGGAAAAATAGTACCCCATTGTTGGTATCAAGGGAATTAATAATGCCCCATCTTTGATGTCAGTGGGAGGATTTGTGCCCCATCATTGGTGTCACTGAGAGTAATAGTGCCCCAAGAGCTAGATATAGACAGGCAAAGGGCCACATCTGACCCCTGGGCCCCAGTTTGGAGACCATTGATTTGCATCAACATCAGTACTTTAAGATAGCATTAGGAAAATATGAGTGAGAGATAACTCTACGGGTCCAGCTGTATTTTTCCACTTTCCTCACAATGGCTGCTAGATACACCTGCCTTCCCTCATATTCTGAGTAATACAGTCATACTTTATAACTTTACAAAAATAAAGTTTATAGAAATAGTTATTTAAGTTACCAGCCTGCTTCTTTTTAGGTGTATCTAGACCTTTTAATATCATACTTATAGTGTTATGTATTTCCATCTTCACCACTATGACAAACTTGTTGTAAGTCTCCAAATTTAGCTGTTAGCAGGACATGCCTGATTGCCTTGAGTATGACTGCACGTAATTTTATATAAGATCAGCCAGAGATTGCTTTTGTCATCTGGCACTCATCATATGCATTGCTATTCTTCTGTGGATATTACTTGTTGAAGATTCCAAAGCATGTTTTCTTCTACATAAGCGCAGGATACTATTACCAGAACAACTCATGTTCTGTAGGGGTTTCATGAAGTGTCATAGATCTGACTGCAGAAAATCTAGGGCACTGCCCTTTCCCATGACCTTGACTCAAATTCCTGTCTACATTGACCAACAGAAAGAAAACATGAATGAAACCTGTTTTTCTTTTAACATCCAAGCTTTTTACCTCCAACAGGCATTCGAGGAATTAGCATTTTTGTTTAACAATCTTCTTTTGTGCAGTGGAGATTTTTGTTCTTCGTTCCAAGGAAAAAAAAAAAAAAAAAAGGAATATGATTTGGCATGTTGGAGGATTAAACTGAGATATTTCATGTTCCTCTTATTTTTTACCCCTGAGATCCATAGTACACAGCATATTAGTCTCCAAGCTCACTCTGGACGACTTTTGTAAACCTTTGTTAAAATATGTTTTGCAAAAAGATTTTCAAAAATGTGTGACAAAAAACATTAATGAAAATAGTTGATAGCACGCTCTCTGATTATTAACTTTCATTAGTTTAGATTTGTAAAGCTGAACTGTAAGAAGCTATAAAGGATACAATTGAATGCAGCTCTGTAATCATTATGTATTTTTATATGCAAGCATTGTAAATACTTTATTGCTTAATGGTAGGTGTTATTTGTGTAGTCCATGTAAAGCAGAGCTAGAGAGTAAGCCGAAGAAACAATGCAGGCAGAAAATCAGCTCATGTGCTAACAGGAAACATACTGATAGGAAGAGAAAGCAAAGTGACAGAGAGATGAGCTCATCAGTGTGCTGCTTCTGCTTTCACTGTACAGGATGACCTGGGCTCAAAGGAAGTGGGTTGAATGATGCTAGCCTTTAGAGTGAGGAGATCTAGATGCAGAAAAATTATTGCAGCGCAAATTTCTACATTGAAGGTGAATATTGTAGCAAAAACATATTTATTAATCTTTTAATAGGCTTATTATTTTTACATTCTTACAGCTGGCTACAGTTCTGCTTGAAGGTATAACTGATTATAATGTTATCTGTTATTATTATTACATCTCAGCAGGCACACATAGGGGTTATTTACTAAAGGAAAATATACTGTGCACCAAAAGTGCACTGCAAGTGTAGTTTCTTTAGATCCAAGGGGAAGCTCTGAAATGAGGCGAAGTTCTGCTGAATTCTTTCATCCAATGATGTGCAAGCAAAATTGCTGTTTTTTTTATTTTTCTTGCATGTTCCCTTCAGATTTAGAGCAACTGCACTGAAGGGAAAATGTAGTGCACTTCCAAGCGCACTTGTCCTGCACTTGCAGTGCACAGCCTATTTCCCTTTAGTAAATCAACTCCATAGTGTATATAGAGAGAGATTGTTTTATAAAGAATGCAGCCTTAGTGCTTCTCATGTGTGTGGGGGGGGGGGGTATAAGACACTCATGGGTCTTGTTACATGAACTTCAAGAAGTCCTATTATGACTGACCCTTTACCCATTCACTGTGGGAGTCAGTGGTCCATTATAGACATTGGGCTCCCTTATTTTACTTCCTGACCTCCAACAATGATGCCTCCTTGATTTAGAGGGAATAGTGATTAAAAGGTGTAAATCCACACCCTCTGTACTGTCTTCCCTTTTATGTATTCCCAGGTGAGCTTAATTTCTGACTTTCCTAATTGCTGATTATTAGACATGTGCGATTATTTTGTTACAAATCGAAATTTGGACAAATTCTTTGTTATTTGGAGATTCTGAGTTATTTAACAACGACTTTCATTTGTTTCATTTGGATGGTTAAAGCATCCAAAACAACATAACAACATAATGAATGATCTGAATTTATTCAGATCCATTTCATTTTTATGTTGCATTTTCATTTTGCATTATTATAAAACAAATGCACTATATATGAAATGGAAACATATTGCAATAAATACAGTAAGGTATAAAAGTGAAAAATGTTGATGATTCCTACTTATTGTGTTTAGGTAGGTTCATGGAGGTGAATCCGTCAGAATCTCCGAATCATAACTTTTTTGTTCTATTCATTCTTTTGGATCCATTTCATTTTTATTTTGCATTAACATTTTCCATTATTAATAAAAAAAATCAGTTCATTCCACTTCTCTTTGTGGGTTGGACTAGCAAGGATGACTCAGAGTTCATAAGTAATCTCCCAAAATAACAAATTAACACGTTAAAATGAATATAGCTTCCGAAATATACAAAACAAATCCAAATATACAAAATGAATCTAAATATATGAAACAAATTCCTAAAATGAATAATTCTAACATAACAAATATGATAAAACAAAGTGATTAACTTAACAAAACTAAATGAACTTATCTGTCTATACATATCTACTGATTATATTAATAACCACTGCTATTCTTCTTCTCAATTATTTGTTTACTGACAACCATTTCTCTTTTCTGGGAAAAGTTGCCTATACTACTTACCTGTGCTAGGTGAAAGTGAAATGGTCACATACCTTTCCCAGCATGGCATTTATGTGGTGAGTGGCATTCCTGATTATGTGCTGGGGCAATATGTACACAGGTGGTTTTCACTCATGTTAACCACACCAAGTCTACTGTCTACAGGCTACTGTCACATACACTATATTGCTAAAAGTATTGGGACACCTGCCTTTACACACACATGAACTTTAATGGCATCCCAGTTCAATATTGAGTTGGCCCACCCTTTGCAGCTATAACAGCTTCAACTCTTCTGGGAAGGCTGTCCACAAGGTTTGGGATTGTATCTATGGGAATGTTTGATCATTCTTCCAGAAGCATATTTGTAAGATCAGTCACTGATGTCGGATGAGAAGGCCTGGCTTGCAGTCTTTGCTCTAATTCATCCCAAAGGTGTTCTCTTGGGTTGAGGTCAAGTTCCTCAACCCCAAATTCACCCATCCATGTCTTTATGGACTTTGCTTTGTGCACTGGTGTGCAGTCATGTTGGAACATGAAGGGGCTGTTTCATGTTTCATGCTCCCACAAAGTTGGGGGCATGAAACTGTTCAAAATGTCTTGGTATGCTGACGCCTTAAGAGTTCCCTTCACTGGAACTAAGGGGCCAAACCCAACCCCTGAAGAACAACCCCTCACCATAATCCCCCCTCCGCCAAACTTCACACTTGGCACAATGCAGTCAGGAAAGTACCTTTCTCCTGGAAACCGCCAAACCCAGACATGTCCATCAGATTTCCAGACAGAGAAGCGTGATTTTTCACTCCAGAGAACAAGTCTCCACTGCTCTAAAGTCCAGTGGCAGCGTGCTTTGCACCACTGCATCCAACAATTTGCATTGCACTTGGTGATGTAAGGATTGGATGCAACTGCTCGGCCATGGAAGCCCATTCCATGAAGCTCTCTATGCACCGTTGTGCAAATCTGAAGGATACACAAAACTTGGGGGGTCTTTAGCTATTGACACTGCAGACAGTTGGCTACTCCTGCGCACTGTGTGCTTCAGCATGCACTGACCCCGCTCTGTCATTTTACATGGTTTATTACTTTGTGGCTGAGTTGCTGTTGTTCCCAGTTGCTTCCACTTTGTTATAATACCATTAACAGTTGACTGTGGAATATTTAGTAGCAAGGAAATTTCACGGATGGACTTGCACAGGTGGCAACCTATCATGGTACCATGTTTGAGTTCACTGAGCTCCTGAGAATGTCCTATTCTCTCACAAATGTTTGTAGAAGCAGTCTACATGCCTAGGTGCTTGATTTTATACACCTGTAGCCATGAAGGTAATTGGAACACCTGAACCCAAAGATTTGGAGGAGTGTCCCAATACTTTTGGCATTATAGTGAATGTGAAAGTGAATGGCTGCACTAATTGTGGCAAACAGTGATAGTTGTGAAAAAATTCAGGCATGTACTTTAACTAGCATCTGTGAACTGCCCTTTTATCCTCAAAAAATAATATAAGGTAATTTCAACTAACTATTAGTTCAAATAACTTACTCAGCTTCTTAATTTGTGTAAGCCATACAGCTAAGCAGGGTTTATAATGTTTTTAGGACTCTGTATTCTGGTTTGATGTGACAGTCATATAATCAGGCCCCATAATAAAGAACTACTGGTTGTGTCCATGTCTTTATTAAACATTAAAGTGAACCAAGTATCAAATATGTTTTTTTTCATGTTAAGTGCATACATGTACAGTACATAATCTGTATGCGTAACACTTACAGCTGACTGTGTAGCAGTCAATGTGGAGTCACTGGTTGTATGGAAGGCTGCTGGGTGCCAAATCCCTAACTAGGAGCCCTGAACAGAAAACTGTCTCATTTAGCAGTGCCAGTAATATGCTAAATATTTCACTGCAGCTGAAGGTTAACTTAGCTGAACTAATTTGCCGATTCGCACAGGAATCTTCATAGACTGTACACACTGCTAAGTCCTCCATCATATTATTTCCCCTGCTGGTTGAATGTTCGTAGATTTTAGTGTTAGGCTATTATCTCTATTGGAAAATGTTCTTTAACTCATATTGTTCAATGTTCTTATCGCTATTATTTTCTTTGGATGAAATGTTAGGAAATGCTACCTTCACCCAGCAAATGGCAGCAGATAGGAACTGATATTACATACATATTACAAACATTGCAGGTACTGTATTATTCATTTATTTTGTGTGAATAATGACTCATTTGCAAATTACATTTTTTAAACATAGACCCTATAACATTCCTGCATAATTCCAGTGGAAATTGATAGCTAGTGAGTTGTTGATGAAGCCATCTCTTTTGGGTCCTTGGAGAGGGTACTGAAATTACACAACCAATCAAAGGGCCTGAGGGATGTGCTGATATGTTTTATAATATTCCAGCTGAGGCTTCCTGTCAAGGATTCCCTTTAAAATATCTGGCATGCAGGAATGTGCAGGTGTGCGCCATTTCCCACAGAACGGTGACCAGGCTTGTGAGTGCAAGCAGGAATGAACACGAGAATGCCCGTTGGCACCAGCCTGTTTAAGGCTGCTTCTGCCCTTGCTCTAGTGCTGACTGGTCTTTTAGCTGCTCCCTGTGTCCTGCTCTCATTCTGTATGTTCCCTTGATGGTGACCCAGTTTGCTTCTGTAAATTCAAAAAGTCTACAGCTTAAATATATACAGCTGTTTCTTCAACATATTGAATTTACATTCTGAACTTCACCAGGGAGTGTTATTGTGCAGTCTAGCAGCTGATTGGAGACATTTGAGCACCAGTTAAAGACTTTTAATACTGGCTTGCTTCTGACCTGACCTTGGATCCTGCTTCTGTCTTGCCACCAGGTACTGACCCCGGCTCTGCTTCTGACTTTGGCTCTGCCTATGATTCTGTACCTCGTGGCTCACCCTTTGATGAGCTGGGCTATTCCTGTGACCACGCTTCTGACTCTGATTCTGGCTTCATGTCCTGTTCGAGAGTGTCTTCCATACCAGTTCTGAACACTGCTGTGTGCTCTTGTCTTAAGTATGCTGGGAGCCAGGGGCGGACTAACCATTTGGAAACTTGGGCACTGCCTGAGGGTCCGGGGTCAGTAGGGGGCCCCATGAGATGCCCCTGGTACCTTTTTCATAGGCTTTTTGGGCAAGGACACAGGGGCCCCATGATCCCCTGTTGCCCGGGGGCCCCATGAGTTGTCAGTCCACCCCTGCTGGGAGCTCTGACAAGCCACATGCCCAGGATCTGCAGCATATATGGCGTGCCCCTGTAACCTTGGCTGAACCACTGTGCACAGCTACTGTTCCTGACCTGATGTCCTGCCAGCCTGCCTGGGACCACATCCCCTGCTGCGAGTTCTTCTATCAACATCTGCTGACATTTGTGTTCTTCCTGTCCCTCAGTAACCTCTGTTCCACCCTCAGTGGGGCCTGGGCTGGAGATACAAAAAAGGCCAACCTCATTATTTCAGTCTCCTATCAGGTACGTGACACTTCATTAATGTCAGTTTTTCTAACTATATACAATCTTTCAGATGACAAGGTTTCAGAATTGAACAACCAACTAATTATTCAATATAATTAACTTTTCCTTTAGAGACCAAATATGATATATATATATAATGTAATACTGTATGTCCCATCAACAAAAGTGATTGGAGTTATTTGCCTATACATTTGTGAAACTACTTGGTTATGTATATAACTTTATCAAAGCAGGGATTATGGATTATGCATTTTGATCTCTAAAAAAAAAAAGCTGACACAATGGAGGGGATTTAATAAAACTGGAGCACTCAGAATCTGGTGCAGCTGTGCATAGTAGCCAATCGGCTTCTAGCTTCAGCTTGTTCAGTTAAGCTTTCACAATAAAACCTGGAAGCTTATTGGTTTCTATGCAGAGCTGCACCAGACTTTGCATGCTCCAAGAAGTTCCTAGTAAATTGCCCCCAATATGTGGATTGCTGCAAATTTCTTTGCCAGCCTATTTACAACTGTCATTTACAAGTCCGACGTTAAGGGCCTTTCAAGGATTTTGACTAATATAAATTTCCAACATTCTGCTATGTTCTAGCTTGAGCTGCTTTAAAGGGATTTATGATGGTTGTGCTTTTTGTCTTGAGCTGAACTGTGTTCTAGCGTGTGTGTGTGTGTGTGTGTGTGTGTGTGGGGGAGGAGGGGCATAGTCACCATCAATCAATGTCTACCAAGACTACAAGACTATAACAATTCAATCTGACCAACTACTGCACTTTGGAGAAATGAGGATGTCACTGTATGTACAATATGACTTTCCCATCCTCTCCATTCAGTTTTGTCAACAAATGTCTAACACAGTTCAGCCCCTTGCTGCAGCTTTGCACCGTGCAACTGCAGATTTTAAATGTTACTGCCGGATAACTGATGTAGAAAAGACTGAGGATATGGTTTCTTCTGCCTGCAGCAGACTGATGACATCATCTCAGTCAAACAAAACTCACCTATCTGGATCACAAGGACTGTTTTTTAGTGCTAAAAAGTAGAGCGTTTTCAATGTGCTGCTTCTGTTTATTGTGACATGTTAGCCATTCATTCATACAGACATGTTTCACTTCAGTCATTTTAGTTAGGGTGGTTTCAAGTGGCTGAATATAATTCCATACATAGGAATCTCAAAAAAGTGTCCTTGTCACTGGAAACCACATTGTGCTTTACTACACTGAAAACATGAAAAAATAACATGATTATTTGCCTTGCTTAGCATGAAGACCCTCCCTATTTTTAGACAAGCATCCCACTATCAATTATATGGGTGTAGGACTGAAGACACAATGTAGCTGCCAGCAAAATGTGTACATTTCCCACAGTGCGCAATAAATAATTTAGAAGCATGTACAAGCATAACAGGACAAAGCAAGCAATACATTCAATTTAAAAAGTTAATTATCTCTTCCCTGTTTTCCTATATATAACTTGTCAAAAATGTGGCAAAAGGTGGAACTAGACTTTAACCTGAATTTCAACTCTGCAGCTTCCCATACCCATGAATAACTACACCAGTGTGGTCATCACCCTCCTTTACACTTTCCTAAGTAACTACCCCAGCCATCAAAACCTCCAGCATGATAGCATGTCATCATTATGCAATGCAGCAGAGATGGATTGACTAAAGCCCAGTTCACCTACAGTGGGACTTGGGTTTTACTGTTCTGGATTAACGCAGGTCACTGCTAGGACACATAAATGACAATTGTTTTCTATGTGTCCTGTTCACAATGCAACACAGCCCAGAGTTGCGGTGCAATGAACAGCGATAAAATGCATTTTATCGCAGCATGCAGGAGGGAATCACATGTCACTGTACAGAAGCACAAAAAACCATGCTGCTGTGCAGTGACATGAATGAAGTGTCACTTTGTGCACTTCAGATAAAGTTGACAGAACAAAAAGGGACTGTGTGCTGCACTGAAACATGCATCACAGCTCCCCACCCCCACTGCTGGCTCACTGCAGCCAGACCGGAATGCTGCTGCACACTAAACCACTGTGGTTTAGTGTGTGGGAAATGAAAATGGGCCTTTACAATGCTGACCCACCATCTGCCAGTGGTTATTGCTGTGCAGGGTTTTAGGAAAGTAATAATACTTCAATAATCCAAAAAGAGAAAGGAAGAGCCACTCACATAAAAGCCAACTTTAGTTTATTGAAGCAAAGCAATACACCAACAGTCCACCTGGTGCCAAAACAGCTATAAAGTGTTTCACTCCCTAAAGGAGCTTAATCAGAGCGTCTGTGACACTGATTAAGCTCCTTTGAGGAGTGAAACATGTTAGGACTATTTTGGCACCAGATAGACTGTCGGTGTTTCAATAAACTAAAGTTGTCTTTTATGGTGAGCGGCTCTTCCTTCCTCTTTTTGGATTATTGAAAGAAGAAGTACAGCCAAAGCTCATTTGGCTGTACTTCTCCTGTGGATCACAGGAGTGCAGTCTGTTCTGCACTCCTGTGACCATTTTCAGCTGACAGTAGGCTGAAAATTGCTGTCAGCTGAAGTCTGGAGTGGCACCTGGCTCATGCTCTCAGCGAGCCGCTGAATACCTGAGCCAGCTGCTCCCACCTCCTCCACATCCCAATGCTGCAGTGAGAGCGGGGGGGCAGAGCAACCAGCGGTGATTGACAGTCTCTCTTCTCAACTCATCAATCAGTGATCAGTTAGATCAGTTAGAGCCAGCGGGGGGGATAGATGCAGCATCAGACTCTTGCTGCATCCACCTAGGCACCTAGGTAAGTATAATCCAGGGAAAAAAAAACAAAGCCAAACTTCTCTTTGCATTACTACATATCCAGCAGCTCATGACAGCAGACAGCTTGCTCTTGCAGCCGGGAGACAGGAGAGGGGAGCACAGCCTGAAGCAGAGCATTATCTTTTTAACTATGTGAAAATAATAGGTTTAATTGTGTTAGCAAGAGAAAAGGACCGAACCATGTGTTGTCAACATCCATATGTAAACTAACTGCAATGGGACTTTGTAGACAACAGTTTGTGAAAAAATGTCACCTATAAGGTCCCATTGGAGTTACACTTATTTTTGCTAGTTTTCATTTTGTTAAAATACTTGGAACAATTCCACTTTATTAAAGGTAACCATTGCACTTCATACACATTTTCCAAAGCTTTAATGCAAACAGTCAAATAAATAACTACTAGCATGCCATTTTTTTATTACCTGACTACTTCTTAGAATGTATGACTTTCACCCTGAAAACATCTCTTTGGTGATTTTTGTTCTTTGCGTGATCTGTAAAATATTTTATTAGGTTATCTAGCAGAAATATGACACATACAAAGCATTGGCATTTGGAATGAGCACACCACAGTCTATCTCTGACAATTGAGCTTTTTTTATTGTTTGTACTATGAGTCATGAAGTGTAGAAAAAATGATTTTCAGCTTGATTCTCTATATGTGTACAAGTCATTCAAATGGCTACATACCAGGGACTGGTGGAGCCTAATAACACCTCAGATATGCTGTGGCAATTTTCAGGTCATACACCATGACTAAAAATACAGCACTGAATCATGTACTGGCTCCGGGGTTCCTGGATATTTCAGAACAGCTGACTCTGATCACTAGCCATGTGGTCATCCACCAGTTCAGAAAGAAAGATGAAAAAAAACATATATGCTATATGACTCCTTTGAGGTCATATTTATCAATTTTACTGACAGGCTCGGAAGACTAATTAGAAAAATGATTGTAAATGCCTATATTTACCCGTACACACTGAAAAATAAACATCATATTTTAGTTTATGTCTATTGGTCCAAATAGTTAAATATATATATATTAGGGCATTGTTATCGGTAGCTTACATGGTCTTTCTACAAAGTTAGAAGACCATATACTTTATATTTGACCATAATATTTCCAGTTCTTTGATAAGACACTCATATATTACTTTTTTGATGTTTTATATGTTGCAAGGATTGGAATCTCTACTGGGCTTTGCATCCAGGGGGTCATAGAGACAAGAAGTGCGGTTATATTTCCACAATTAGTTATGACATATAATAAAGTTAGGCACGTAACACCATTTAATAAAAGTGTAAATATAACTCTGTGTAATAATGATAATGAAGAAAGGTCATACAGTGCTGTTTAGTAAAGCAAAGATGTCATTTAGCAAGCTACAGCTAATCTCCACTGGCAACTGGTTCCTTCTCTATACAACTTCACCAAGTTCAGTCACACATGGCAGAGAAAATTTGTTATAGTGTAGTATTTATTATATCAAATACATATTAAAAACATATATAACAAATGCCCACTCCTTTGTACTTGTGCCCCAGATTATTAATATACAGAATGTATATAGCACCAACAATAAGCGAGGTGCTTTACAAAATGAAGGTAGACATTACAGTTACAATACAATTTGGTACAAGAGGAAACAGAGGGCCCTGCTCGTTAGAGCTTACAATCTAAGATCAGCACCAATGCAATGAGCCTTCTCAGCATGTCCACTCACTGAATGCCATGCGCATTCTAAAAAACCTAAAAAAAAGTTTGGGCCTGGATGTGACGTCAATAGGAACCGGAGATAACAGCAGTGGTCCCTTCTTAATGAGTTTTCGCCATTACGCGGTCACTTGCACATTGCTAGATGACATCATTGATTTACTAAACAGCGCTGTATGACTTTTATTCATTTAGAGCTCGCAGTTTTGCAGT